TACAGTTATCTGGTCCACCAGGTGCTACCAACAAATGAGCAGAGTAAGAAAGATAAAAGAAAAGAAAAGTGAACCCCTATTGAATCAATATAAATGGTCCCTGGTATGCACCCACGTCTCCAGTCCCCTCCTGAGCCAACATAAATAGTCCCCAGTCTTCTGGGTGCACTTACTCCTCAGGACTTCTCCTGTGTTAATAAACAGTCCTCAGCCTTCTGGGTGTACTCACTCTCTATTCATCATCAGAGGCTCCTCCTCTTGGGCTGCAGCCCCTCTTGCTGGGCTTGCATTTCTCCTTGTCTTCCTGCAGGGCTGCATCCTTCGTTGTCATAGAGGCCAGTCTCCCTCTTGCCTCTGCCAGTTATCCTCTCTCCCTCAGTCAGCTGACTGGGTGTCCTACCTACTTGTCCCAGGTGTTGCCAATCCCCCATCTTCCCTCCCTGCTAATGTCCCTGTAGCCTGCTACAAGCTTTGCAAAACAAAACAGGGACAGAGGTGGTTGGGTTCCACTGTTGTCTTTGAGGGGTTCCTGTCCTTACCTGTAGCTGGCGGCTTTCCTCTACCCCCATGTTGCTACAAAATGCACCTTGCTCACCACTTGGTGTCTTTTCTGGCCACTGGTGTCTCAGCCTCTCTGGCTGGGTTGTCAGTGCTTCCCCTTCTACAGGCAGCCAACCCTCTCCCTTCTGCTACATAATCCTAGCCTTAAAGAGACCCTGTTGCTTTCTTTCACCTGGCTCTCCCCCACTCCATAGCAGGGCTAAAGTTCTCTGTTATACGCCATGTGTGTGTTCATAGTAACACAGGATGGGAAGGGGACTCTTAAGCTGTCAGGTTCAGTCCCCTGCATTTGCAGACAACCATTTGTGTTAAAAGTCCTAAAAACCGTCTACTACAACTTTCATATACCACAGCCACAAAACATATAAGGAAAACCAAACTAAAACTCGCTGTGACATGCCACAAGTAAAAAACAGAGGAGAGAAGGGCACTGTTAATGCTTTGCCACTGCAATGTCAGAAGTGATTATGCTAGTATATGTTCAGAGGACCATACCTTAGGCTACAGAGGAAAACAAACCTTTCCACAGTTCTTGCCAATCTGACCTGGAGCAAAAATTCCTTCCTGACCTTAAATCTAGCATTTGATTTCACCCTTAGCAAACACAGAGTAAGACCTTCCAACCAGGCACTTGAAATACTTTTAAGTACCAGCAGGACCACACCCCAATCAAATTTCATGCTGGCCAATATCCAGTGCTTCAGAAGAAAGCATAAATCCCTCCAAAGTAAAAAAATATTAATGAAGGGGAAAAAAGACTCTTTTTGGCCCCTAAAGGCAACCAGTAGAAGCCTTAAAACATGAAATTCCCAGGCCCTGCTCTCATAGAAACAGTTACCTTTCAACCCCAACACTGGGATGCAAATATTTGAATTCACATCCTGTGCACTGTTTATTGATCTGAACCAACACATCTTGTCGTATGATTGCTGTAAACTTGTCAATTTGGAAGCAATTCAGATTCAGAAAACTATTCCAAAACTTCACTCATTTGACCATCACAAGCCTTCGTCTAATTTCCAGTTTCACTTGGTTCATTAAAGCACAAAATCAAACACTTGCAAACTAGTTATCGTCCTGAGCGGATCTAGAATTTCGAAAAGAAGGGTGCAGATGGTGAGGCACATCATCACATAACACAACACATTTTTCTCCAATTAAAGAGAAACTAGGAGCTTTACTAATATGCTAGGGGTCTGCCTACATTGAGTTTTAAGATCAAAGCAGAAAAATATAATTATCGAAATATGCACTATTTGCTAGAGCAGTGTTTCTCAACCTTTTAAGTAGCAAGTACCCTCTAACTTCTGAAAATTTTAATAAGTACCCCAACACTCAATTTTCCAGGGGATTTTATATTTACAGACTAATATGTGCTATACGTTGGAAGAAGGGCTGCGTATATAAGGCCGTGATATGACAGATGTCTGATCTGGTGTGGGTAGGGATGCTACCTTTTACACCAGGGGTGCTCAAGAATGTACCTCGGCTACAGGTGATGTTGGCCAAAGCTAGGAGGGCTGAACCCAGTGTTATGCAAAGCGTAGCATGCCAAATTATTGTTGGGGAATTTAAAGCGTCATGCTATGCGGGGTGTGCCAAATTTTTGCCATAGTTTTCAAAGGAGGAAGGGGAGAGAGAAAGAGAGAAAGAAAGAGACAGATAGACAAGGATATAGGGCAATAGAGAAAGAGTGAGACAGGGAAGGGGGAGGGTGAAGAGAGAGAGGGAAGGGGGAAGAGAGGGGACAGGCAGCAACCGTAATTGTGGAGCAGGCAGGTGGTGTCAGCTGCTTCTGGGGCTGCTGCAGCAGGGGTTAGGGTGATGGGGAGAAGCAGAGGCCTGCGCCGCGGAGAGGTAAGTCTATAGGGCAGGTTTGGCAACCCCTGGAGCACGCATGCCCCTGCTGCAGTGGCCCTGGAAGCAGCCAACACCACCTGCCTGCACCACAATTACAGTTGCTACCTGCCCCCTCTCTCTCCCCGCTTCCCTTGCTCTCTTCACCCTCCCCCCTCCCCTGTCTCACTCTCTCTCACCCTATATCCTTGTCTGTCTGTCTGTCTGTCTGTCTCTCTCACCCTCTTTCCCCATCTCTCTCACCCCTTCCTCCTCTTAAAACTATGGCAAAAAAATTGAACATCCATTTCCAGCAAAACAAAGCCGAGCAGAGTGTGAACATCCATTTGCAGCAAAACAAAGCTGTGCAGAGTGCAGCGACCAAATAGACCTATGAGGTCCCAGTGAAAGCCATCCCTGGGGGCCTGGCACAGAACTACTCCCCACAGTTTGTTCCCAGGGCTTTGTCCTGTTGCAAATAACTCACATGTGAGGGCACTAAGCACTTCCTAGGGGAGACTGGCCCACAGTCTACTTGAGATGCAGAGTGTGGCCTCATTTTAGCTCCAAGAGGTCTGGGGGGTTGTGGGGTATGTTGTTCTCAAGGCCACAGCAAAACCCCAGCTGACTCAGCAGCCCTCCATGCCCAGATCAAGGCTTGAAAGTAACCAGGCAATCAGGTTTTCCATCATGCTCGCTGTGCCCAGCCCGGTGTGAGCCCAGAAAGGGCTTCCAATGTGCTGATTAGCCTTCGCTGCAAAGCTTCCAAATATTTCAGGCCTTAATAACACAATAAGTATCTGAAACACTAATAAGCAAATTAGGAGAATGTTCACGCTATGCTAATGAGCATGGCACGCGAGGCCATTTTGCTTGGCACTCCACTGCCAGTCATGGAGCCCGGGCTGTTCCCAGCAGGTGGCTGGGAGGCCGCAAGCCTTGCTGCAAGCAGCCTGGGCTCTGTGGCTGGCAGCAGCTAGCCAGAGCCTGGGCTGGCTGCAGCCAGGAGGCTGCAAAGGAGCTGCTCCAGGCTCCAGCATCCCGTGGCTCCGAGCAGACGTGGGGCTGGGGGGGGGCCTGAGGCAGTGCAGCCCAGAAAAGCCCTGTGCCACCACTGGCACCGCCTGTATCCTGCCTGGGCTCTGGGCAGTTACAGCAGGGAGGCAGCAAACAGCTGCACCGGGCTCTGCAGTTTCAGCATCAGCTCCATGCTGGCAACTGCACTTGCACCTCAAAGCAGAGAGCAGGTTTGTCCCCGCTCTCTGCTCTGAGACACGTGTGAAGTCGCCACCATCATGGAGCTGATGATGGGGATTGGGAGCCAAGCACAGCTGTTTGTAGCCAGCTGGGCTCTGGGGCAGCTGCAGCAAGCAGGCTGCAAACAGCTGCCCCAGGCTCCACAGCCCTGGCATCAGCTCCATGCTGGCAGCAACTGCACGCATGCCTCAGAGCAGAGAGTGGGGATAAACCCGCTCTCTACTTTGAGGTGCACATGCAGTTGCTAACATGGAGCTGATGCTGGGGCTGTGGAGCCCAGTGCAGCTGTTTGCAGCCTGACTGCTGCCTGCTGCAGCTGCTCCAGAGCTCAGGCTGGCTACAGGCAGGGTTGGCGGCAGCACAGGGCTTTTCCCCCGCATTCGGTGGCAGCAGCTCTGGGGCGGGGCAGGCAGCAGCCCCTCTCCCATCATCGCAGCCTGCCCTGACTGCCAGGAAGAGCTAGGTGCCACGGCCAGCCCTCCCACCCGCAGTGAATTGGGCCCTGGGCAGGCCGGGTCATGGGGCCAGTCCCCACAGTGGGGGAGGGAGCAGGGCAGAGCCGTGTCCCCCCCACACTCTGGGGATCTCGGTCTGCCCCCACCCAAGCCCAGGCAGGATAAAAAAAGAAAGAAAACTTACCTGTCTGTCAGTGGGGAGTGCGCGGGTATCTGTGTGCTCACCCTCCTCCTCCTGCAGCAGCCTCTTGCTGGTTTTGGGGTGGGGGCAAGTGGCTGGACATGAATCCGGCGGCAACAGCGGCTGTGCTCCCTTGCTGTGGGGGTTTTCCGTGCCTGCGTATCCCCTGCCTGTGTCATATACCCCCAGGGTTGAGAAACTATGGTCTATGCTATCGCATTTTATTTCAATACTATCTACCACTTCATTTACTATAAATTGATATATATATATAAAATGGTGGTAGATGGTATTGAAATAAAATGTGATAGTATAGACCATAGTTTCTCAACACACACACACACACACACACACACACTTATTCATTTCCTTCATAAACAGCCTGTACCTTTCAACACTTGTAGTCCAGTTATGGCTACTATTCTAGCAGGCTTCTGTTATTCTTTTAATGTCCAGCTTTGTGTCCCATACTTGGAGTTACAGTTCTTCCATTTTACTAACATGACTTCCTCCTTGGGTATATAATCTTTTGTTTGTTTGTTTTTTTTATCTCTGCTTGACCTTATTGGAGCTTCTAGGTGGAACATGTGAATTTAAATACTTCCATTTTCTCTGATGTTGTTTCTATCCATTTCCTTCCTAGTCATCAGTTGACCTTTCTTTCTGGCTACCCCATCACTTACTTGATATCCCTTCTGTTTTACACTTACTTTCAGCATGAAGATGTTGTGGGTTTCTCTTAACCCTCTCCTTCAAGTTCCTAGTTTAAAGGTCTTCTTTTCAGTCTTCCCAGCGCTGGTCCCAGAAGGCTATTTTCTTGCTCATTCAAGTGGAGTCCATTCCTGGAGAAAAGTCCTGTGTCAATGAATGTCTGCCAAATACCTTAGCAATGTTTCAGAAATTTGCAACACAAGACTTGAGAGAATCAGTTATATAATTCAGAAGTTTTAGAGAAATATGTTCTGGTAGTTTCTCCAGGTTTTGACCAGAAACTGAATGGCCTGGCAAAGCTCCTTCAGTATTTTAGAAACAGGACAAACACCGATTTTGGACAAGAATATATTCCAACTTCTTGGCCAAGTCACGATCTTTACAGGGATAAAACCAGATCCAAGTAAAATGAACTCCATCACAAAATTTCCATAAATCGCATCTGTTCAATAGGTTTGCCAATTTCTTGGCTGTTTTAAATGTTGGAGGCAATGAACAGCATCTGACCAAACCCTCAGTTACCTTATTATACTGATATGTATAAAATGTAGTAGATGTGTGATTACTAGTTATGACAGATGTTAGAGCCCACATAGCACTCACCATTAAAATTCAGCATTTGGTTCAGAGGTTTCTGAGATCATTTATTTCCTGAGGCGATAACCATGGCAATGATTTCTGCTCTAAATGAAATAACTCATTGGACCAAGCTCCTAATGCACTGAGATATGAATGACGACATCTTCCTGGGATAGACTGGCTTATTGTGTTGAAATCTATTTCTAAGATTTTGCTTATGCACAAATGTCACCCCAGTTGAACTATAATTAGGATGGTCACACTTATATGAGTCAACAAGTGGTTTGTAATAATTTTTCAGGCTATAACAACCCCCCCCCCCCCCCTTTACTGGGTCATCAGTTAGGCTGTAGAATTGTTTAGCAGAGGAATGGGTAGAAGTTCTATAGCTGCAAACATTTAGCTATAGCACTCAATGAGAGCGGTTTTAAATTGTCAGGAAACAATGTTCCCAATGTACAGTCCCAGCTATATTTGCTGACATCCTATTGTATGCTGTCAACTTTTTTCCAAGTTTCCAGTAAATTTATTAACAGAAAGGTAAAAATAATACATCACATACTTTCCTAATTTACTGTTCACTTAAAGTAACTGCTGTAGTTGCTGCTGGAGTATAATATATTGACAAATCCAAAGGGGACTGTCCAATCACAAACTGGAGGGGAGGTGGTTTCTGAGTCAGTGTATTAGGATGCAGTTTGCATTATAAAAAAGTTTAAAATTTCTTGGTTGAATAACCCAGACAGTCACTTCTATTTTTAATTTCTATCATTCAGTTGTTGTAGACAACTCTGCATAGCAATGCCACTAGATTTGAACCCACAGTTAACATCCTTGGGCCTACTTTCTTTTGGCTTATTCCATGTCATCTGGAACTGCTTTATTGCTATTGGTGGGGTTACACTGGTCTAAAAAACTGGTGTAAAACCAACATAAGGTAGAAAAGATTCAGGTCACATAAATTTGGGTTTGGATTTTTGAAGAAGCCTAAGGGAGCAAGGTGATATTCCATGAGGGTTCAGTCATAGCATTTAACTCTCCTGTTGCAATCTGCCCTTCGTTGCCATTCCTCAGAACAATTCTGTCCTTGTTCTCATAGAATAGAGTTGGGTACTCTCTGAAGGCCATCTACAGGTGGTTCACAAGTTCGTAAAGTCTAGGTTTTTAAAGCTTTGTTTTTGTTCAAGATTGATTTGAATGGTTTTCCATTTCAGAACAGACAGCACAGGCAGCTCAATCAACCTCCCTGCAGAAGTTTCTGTCTAGAGGTAAAATACCGTGAAAGATTCTCTTATATACATTACCCTTGCTAAGTTAATGTGAAAGAAGCTGTTTGCCACCCTGCAGAGCAAGGAGCAATTTCATCTCCTTATCCTGCAGGTATTCAGGTATACAGACAGACCTTGGACAATGCAGAGAACAGAACCATATGTTGGGAGACCACTGTAGTGGCTCTGGAAGCCTTGTGACTTCAAGAAAGCCATACTGCTGTGGTTGCTTACAGCTACTACTCAAGACCCACCCCCCACCCCCACATTAACTGGGATCCTTCCTATTGCCCCTGCAGATTGCACCATGTCCTTGTCTGCATTCCAAAGTTCTGCCAACAGAGCTATGTCAGGAAGGTGTATGAAAATATCACATCTCCTAGCCAACACAGCTCTACCAGCAAGAGCCCCAAGTTTTGTCATTTTAGGAGATCTGATACAGCCCTAGTGGCGGAAAACTGCTTTCTTTCAACAGATCTGCATCCATAGCAAGCTGGCTTGCTGCTGTGGCCCATCTACAATTAAAGCTGCTGAAAGCCATTTTTTTGCCTTGGAGAATCTTCACCTCTCCCACCGAGCAACATCCCTCATTGTGAAAAACATTCACCTCAAGGAAAGAACTTCAAAGAATCCAAACCATGGTGGTCACACGATAGAAACAACTCACTCTCCCCATGCAGAAAAGTAGCATGCAAGTGAAGGAGATTCTCCAGGGTATTGCACTTGTCCCCAGGTGACAAACTCTCTCATTCGACTGCTTCTGAGGCCAGCTCCCTTTTGCCATTCCTTGCAAATCATTATTTTTTCTTCAAGGACTAAATCATGGTGTCCTGCCTATGTCCTTGTTCAGATCTCAGTTAGAAAAATACCTCTGCTTAAGAAAACAACATTATGGGACAGGCCATGGCAACACAAACACTTATTTTGCCAGAACACATTTATACTGGATGGGTGGTTAGTTCAGATGGCCATGAACACTTAATAAAGTTCATTCTTCTAGTAATTCCCTATGGCTCACTATTTCGCTTTACTACCAGAGAGAGGCACAGAACTTCCAGATTTAAACATTTACATTGTTTTAATTGTTTTTTTGCCATACAGTCATCCATGGAAGACATGCGTGTTTAAACAAACTGTCTCTGTGTTTAATTTGCCTTCCAAGCACTACAATCATCATAGAAAACAAAATAAAACACTTTCTTTAAGCCCCAAAGTCTAATAATCTGTTACACATTTACATTCCTGCATTTTTGCCCCCATTTTCTTGGGTAATCTATTCCTTGGTAATATAATCATTCCACTTTTTTCCAAATGTTGACAAATAGAAAACTTTTCAGGCTCTTGTTAATGCTTAAAAAAATGGCTCATGCCTCTGGGCATGCAATTAAAACATTAGAAAACACAAAAGAAAAAAAAAGCAGATTTGGATCCAGATGGAACATTTCAAACAGTTTAAGGAATTTGACAGATTCAGAGAATTTAAGGCCAAAAGGGACCATTAGATCATCAAGTCTGATCTCCTGTTTGTCACAACACATTACATTTTTCCAAATTATCTCTGAATTAACCCCAATAACTTGTGTCTGGTTGAAGCATAACTTATATAAAGGAATCCAGTCTCGATTTGAAGGATAAGGAGATGGAAAAATCCACTTTCTTCCTGGATAATCACAAATTTTTAGCAGTGTGCGCCTAGTATCTAGTATCTAATGGCTAAAACTTCCAGCCATTGGTTCTTGTTTTCCTATTGTCTACTCAGTGAAAGAGTCTTTAATATTTGATATGTATTCCCTGCAAGTGTACTTGTAAAGTAATTGAGTCAAGCCTAAATATCCTTGTTGATAAGCTAAGCAGATTTATCTCTTTAAGTCTCTTCATATGAAACACCCCCTGAATAAGTTTTACTACTTCTTCTAGATACTCTCTAATTTTTCAACATCCTTTAAAATACTGACACCAACCATATGTCGTATTCTAGTATTGGTCTTAACCATGTTATTTACAGAGATAAAAGTCACCTTCTTACCCAAAGTCACTCCTTCTCTGTTTATATATAGCAAATGAGTCCATTAGCTTTTTTTGCCATAGCATCTTATTAGAAGCCCATGAAGCACTGAGTGCTTCACTATGACTCCTAATGTCTTTTCCAGAGTATCTGCTTTCCAGAAAGTCTTCCACTCTGTAGATATCACTGCCAGTTTTAAAATCCATTTTATTTGAAGAGACTCAGCTTAGGAAGAAATCTAGATGACTGTATGACTGCCCTGTCTTTAGCCTTATCTACCAATCTTGGCATCATTCACATACTTCTATTGGCAGCAATCCAATATGTGTTTCCAGATGACTGATGAAAAATGTTTAGAGTGGGCTGGGTCTAGTACTGATCCCCTGGAAACCCGCTGGCTATACATCCATTAGGTGATGATTCCTCATGAAAATACATCCATTAGCCAGTTCTGAATCATTTAAGCAGGTACTCCATTGGTACTGTGTATAATTTTTAAAATCAGAATAAGTCAAATACCTCATGAAAGTCTTCGTATATTGCATTTACAGTTATGTATTATCAACTAGACTTCCTTTTTCTCAAAAGGAAATCAGGAGTGTTTGATGAGGCTTATTTTCCAAGGTTCATGTTGACTGGTGTCAAGTCTCCACCTATTAGGCACTCAGCATGTTACATTCCTATCCACTGGACCCTAAATAACTGCTGAGTTTCAACAGACTGCAACATTACTTCTTCAGTTGACTCCTCTGACATGTTTCATGGGCACAGATTTGTCATTTCTTGGGCATAGGTTTTCCATTCTCTAGTGGCAATGAGACTCTCTCAGCCCATCTGCCTTGGGTCCTCAAGAGCAGTGCTGATCCAAATTTTCTAGACTTCCAGCTTAGGGTTTACAGTTTACTTCTTCAGGGCTACTTCAAACACACATAACATATACATGCTTTGCCAAAGGTTTTAAAACAGCATTTCTGAAGTAAAGAAAAACTCTCTCTCATACACAAATTATAACTTTAAAGAGGAATAGCAAATCTTCCATGCAGCTAGTTCCCTGCCTGATTTGTGGCACCAGTCTAGAGCAGAGGGTGCCAACCTGTGGCCCACAGGGTAGATCTGGCTCAGGAAGAGCCCACACTAACTCGGGGAAATCTAGGGCACGCTCCAGGCGGAGCAGCAGAGGAGGCATCCCAGGATCCTAGTGCCTGCCTTGTTATATCTATTCCTTGCATTGCATGTACTGCTCACTAAGTGACTGTGGGGAAGCAGCCTGCAGTGGAGG